AATCGAACAGAGTATATGGCGAAGAAGTATCCATTTTTGTGCAAAAGCTTTTCGGTATGGATGATGAATGATTAACAAAATTGGTCACAATGTGTGGAAGATAACCATCACATTTGTTACAGAAATTATTTAGCTTTTCAGACACGAAACGGAGGAGACCTTAAAATAGAAATTTCCCCGAAGTCAGTGCAGATCAACGGACAAGTAAACTGACCTGTTTGTATCTCTCGCCACATCTTCATNCTCCGACTTCCAAACGTGTACAACCATATCGGAGCATTTCGCTAAGAATCAAGATGGTGAGGTTCGGGAATTAGACAATGAGAATTGAGATACCTCAGATGTTTTTTCAAACAATAATCCGGTCTGGTTTCGATGGTAATGCCTACGCATTTAGTTCGGCTTCGTTCCGAATAGCTAAATGGGGCAGAAAGGGAAGAGTGACATAAATTGACGCGGTCACTTACCTCACTGCCTCTTCTACGCTCTGGCTTGAGTGACCGGATAGAGCGTCATGAAGATTCCTATCGGTGCGTAAAGTTGTTTCACCATCCGAATCGAATCAACTACTTACCGGATAAAATAGTCACGATAGTCCTCCGGTAGACACATAAATGTGCCTCCCATAACTATAAATTCCACTTTGTCGCACGAATGACCCAATTGTTGCAACTATTCAATGATGACAAAAAAATTAAGCATGCGTGTGCATATTACAATTTAATGGTTTGACAATACCTGTTCAATACGATGTCTAGTTTGCATATACGGATTGTAACGGGCTCGAATTGCTCGCATAGATGTCGGCTGAGGGAGGAGGTGATGAAGCTGAGAGAAAATAAGTTATACCTCATAGCCTGTATAAGACTGTGTGGAATATTCAAAGTCGGAATCTGGGCCACCAGGGCAATAACTGAAATTGTTGGAATGGACGACAAAATTAATCCCAGTTCGACGATGCTCACGAACAAAGACGCATACGCACACAGACACTTTACTTACACACACACATTCCCGGTCATGGCAATATGTGGACAGCGATGCGGCTTACACATGACTGCAATCACAACGATCTGATGGAAAGGTGAAATAGATGAACAAAATCAGTTTAATGGAGAGAGACAAGACTTACACCACTGGCTGAGCGGACCGGTTTCGCTTTTAGTAATGGCAATAGGACCTGCGTTTATAGAGGCCAAGGGATGAGCACAATGCGAACTTACGTGTTTGTATTCATTGGGAACGGCTGAGATAACATCAACCAGACGGGGCTGAGATGATAGACCATATTTACTGGAGACAGTTGTCTTGAGTCTACCCACATTGAAATTATCATACTATAAACATACTTGTTCAAATTAACGTCACGCTTCTCATTGACAGCTTTGATCAATTCAGAGATAATCTCACTGATTGTCATGATCATAAGCTGCTCTTTTGGTACATTAGGAACGGCTATAGATGTGCCAACAAAGGCAATGCACAATCCAACTAAACGTACCTTTTTTGGGCTTCATCACAATTCGCAATATTACCACAACGATATTTTACTGGAAAAAGTAACAATGTGACATTTATTGTAAAGACTGTTCAACTGTAACGACTGTTCGCCGATTACAAATGCAAAAGTTAACATTCAAAAATGTATACGATGTCAGAAGAATCAACACCCATATGATATAGGGTGCTGGTGACCAGATGAGTTAAGTCGCTGTTGCCGGTTTGTTTTGATGCTCGCCTCCGCCACGTTACTTTGGTGGTAGGTAGCTTCGCTGTCACCAGCCGTTATATCACGTCTAACTTAGCGGAGCCTCAT